GAGAGAGAGAGAGAGAGAGAGAGAGAGAGAGAGAGAGAGAGAGAGAGCGAACGTATCGCTTAACTTACTATTTCCTGAATTGTATATGGCTTTAACTGCTTTCTTCAATTTTGTCAGCCCTTCTCGATCGAATTCCAGCGCCTGCAAACAAATAGTAACATCAATTATTATATAAACGCAGGGAATCGAGACGTTCAATTTTACAATTTCCATCCATTTCCGCCTGTTTTAACATCATCCATTTTAGATAGAGAAAATTGTACATATGTGTGTGTGTGTGTGTTTGGTCGTGGCATCGAAACCACCGATTCAAGTCAGAGATCGGCGCCGATACGAAGCGAAATTTCCAAACACCGTACAGAAATTGAATTTGCCGTTCGACAGCAAGATGGAGAGAGCGCGTGCGATTCTACTAAAGTGTTAATTGGAGTCAGTTACGGCGTGTGCGTAATTGTTTTAAATTCAATTAACAATTAATTTAATCAAATGAATGCATTTCAAGTGAGTATTTTATTATTTATAGCTCGGGGAAAAAACCGTACGGGGGGCGATTTGCAAAGACCATGGCGCGAACGTGCACGAAATATGCAGCACACACACACACACACACACCAAAAAAACATCTGGTTTCGCTTATAGAGCTAACTATCTCAATGAATTATTGTTTTAGTTTTGGTTACTTTTTTTGCATCGATATTGAACACTGAATCGGGCCGGAGCAGAGGACGAATCGACCACAATCAATTGTTATGCAGCTAACGAATTTTTCATGCATCTTCATTTTAAACGCTTCAATTTAGCTACACACACTCAATAATAACAATTATTCCACGATTTTTTTTTTTAAGTTTCGTTTGTTGTTGTTGTTGCTATTTTTATCAAGATATTTAATAAATCGATTGATGATTACAAAATGGAAATGAGGGGCCATTGGTATGGGCGTTTAATAACATTTGCTTCGAGTGTAAACAGTAAACAAGACGAAGAAAGAAATAAATGAATATGGAAGATGCACGTATGAGGAACTGAATACAATATGAAAACTCGACATATGCTGCCATAAGCACAATGTCACATTTTTCAAGATCAAATTATGCGAAAAATGGTAAAAGCTACACACATAAAAATATTACAATAAATTTTTCGTATTATTCTTCTTTTTTTTGCATCATGTGTCGAAAAATTGAATTGCTGCTGTCACTTTCGCTTGATTTGCCCTTGAAATATGGTGCCATCGTTTTTCGGTGAGAGAAACGCTTCCCATTTCGAGAGTATCAGTCACTTAAAATTTGTCCGTTGATGACATTTATTGTATTGATCCAACATTTGAACGAAATTTCTTTTATAGGATATGCATATCAATTATGTGACCTTGAAAATACTTTTATTGAGCATTTCAAAATATGGAAATTGGAATTCCCGCCTATTGACGTATGTCACTCAATTGAAAATGCCAATCCATCAATTTAAACGTTGTGCGATAACATACAGCAGCACCAGCATACAAAAGTGTTTTCATTTTCCAAATATCACTTTTTGGATGATTCGAATGTTACACGATATAGCTGACGCTGGGGAATAGACAAATTTAGTGCTTATCGATTATCAGAAACCCGTCGCGCTTGATTTGAGAGAGAGAGAGAGAGAGAGAAAAACAGAAAATAGGCGCGCACAATATGAATCATTTGATCTTGACTTGACTGTCGACCCAGTATGTGCTAAATGTAAATGTGATAAATGCAATTTGACTTGATCAACATCACTCAACACTTGATTGAGTAAATTTCCCCATTTCAAATGTTAAACACTTCTGGATAAATCATTCATCCGCTTGAAATTGCCATTGAGAAATGCGTGCTTTTGTCAATTTTATTCGGGTTTGCTTTTGAGTGGAACGAAAATTAGACATAAATCATTCATAATACATCGGAAAATCCCGTGAAAAAGTAGCCAAAATGTCATTAGTTTTACAGCCACCAATTTTTAGCATACATTTAACGCAATTACTGAAACCCGAAACGATTGTTATTAAAACTGATAACAGCATTTCATTGCATGTCATCGACTTTGTTTATCGTATATGAATAAATCAATAAAGGCATCGAGTATTCGACGGCGATATCAACCTCAGCACAACCGACACGTATCGAATGAACGAAAAAAGAATGTACGTTGTTGCTGGTTTTTTGTTCTTTGTTATGCCCATTTATACGTTTATAATTTCAATGTGTACGGCTGGAGTTCGACAAAAAAAGGCGACAATGATGTCAAATGGTCAAAAAAGCTGTCGATTGTTTGCATGTGCACATCAAATAAATTTGCAGTGCATTCAAACGAATCTACGGGAAGAGACAGACAGACAGAAAGAGAGAGAGAGAGAGAGAGAGAGAGAGAGAGTGAGAGAGAGAGAGAGAAAGAAATCTGGCTACCTCATGGATCGATGATATTTATGGTTGCTGTTGTTGTCGGGTGTGTTTTTAACGAAATGGAAGCGCAAGCAATAAAAAGTCGTCCTATCTCAATGGCATTGATATACTGTATGACACATGGTAACAACACCGAAAGAAAAAAATTTGTTATGTATGACATGAAAGCAAAAGAAATCGAAATCACCTTTCACACTCCAAAAACCAAATCGGAGATGAAAAAGAAAGAGATAAAAATTATAATCAGAAGAAGAAGAAAAAATCCCAAAAACTGCAATAGATGTAATAATAACAGTTAGTGACAGACACATCAATTGTAGCATAAGGACAAAGAGAGAAAGAGAGAATGATCCGTGCCGCGTGTTTGTGCCGCCTGAAAGACAGTAAAAAGAAGAAGAGGAAAAGGCAGCAGTAGCAGCTGGCAGCTGTTCCAATCAACCATGTATGCACGCTATGTTACCTTTCATTATTCGGCCGTGTACATTTGCCTCTTTGAGTGCTCGTGTGTACGCGCGCGATTCATTTGGCAGCGCATTTTGTAATAAATACACACACGCACACCACCCCACTGTTCCGTGTGTTTGTGCTCAGACACAAAATATGTACAAGCAATAACAAAAGAAAAACCAAACCGAAAAGCAGCGTAATCAAGACGAAGACGTCGACGACAACAACAACAGCGGCAACGAAGAAAAAAGTGAACTTATTCTATGTTTTTTTTTTCTTCAATTTCAATGTGCACAAGAGCGTAAGCATTTTGTATGCTCTTTAAAAAAAAATCGTAACTATTTTCTTTGCCGTCTATTGTACGGGCCCCAAATGAACGACCGTCATGCAGACTCTCTTTCTTTTACTCTGGCTGGCTGGCTGGCTGACTGACTGACTGTCTCTTGCTTGCTCTCTTTCACCCTGTCGCGCTCAATCAATGAGCTCAACAACAACAAAAACCGAAACTTCATTGCGACTATTTGATAAATATAGAATGTGCAACCGATTTCAATGTATAGGAGCGAGGAAGAAAGAAAGATAGAAAGAATAAATTGAGAATTCGTTTGCCAACTATATAAAAGAACATGCATAATTCTAGGTTTTGATTGTGTGGCTTTTACACGATATATTTCACACATACAAACAAACCGAAAAGCAACACAAATCAAACTGGTGCGCTATCAAAATCGATGACAGCAACAACGTGTAAAACGTGGTACTGTCATTGTGACTCATAAATAATAATCGTTATAAGTAAGAATCGTTAGTTGAACATTCAAAAGATGAATCTCTTGTTTCGTTATTTTTTTTTTTTTTTTGTTTCACCGAGAATTTCTATCGGGAAATTGACCAATCGAATTGAAAACACACAACACAATCCATGTGTGAATATACATGAATACGGCGTCTAAGGTCGACTCCTGTGTACATGTTGCTAATTATAAGTTATCGATTCTCTTTCAATTTTATGGCTGTGGCTTTTGTATTGCTGTTACTAATGACTCTCAATTGAGTATCACTATCTGTGATATGAAATTGTTTCTATCTCTTTTTCTCAGATAACGACGCATTGAAAACGACGGAGGGCGTTTCCCACAAACGATCATTCTCATGTATTCAAATGTTATTTTCGATTTGAAATCGAATGAATTTATTCATTTCCAAAAGTAGAAGACAATCAATTTGAAGCGTAAAATCAAAGTCAAAAGGAAACGAAATTGAGACAAATGCAATTCGAAACCGTATCTACGAAATGGTAAAGGATTCCAAATGCTTTTTCCATGAGCAATTCGTTCAAGTTACAGCTTTTTGATGCAGAAAGATCAATGAAATGCTGTTCGATGTGCAATTTCACAATACGAAAACGTAGAAGAAGAAGAAGAAGAAGAAGAAGAAGAAAAGAGTCAACAACCGAATGAAATAAAATCCACCGTATTATTTATCAATCGATTCGGACTCTAGATCATTGTGATTGTATTCATGTTTACGCTTTCTTTTCTACATTAATTCGAATGTGTTGAATTCATTAAAATTGCATGAATTACCGCAACAATGCAAAATACAATCACTTGAAAATGTGATTCACCTCGAAGAATATGGGCGCAATATGAGCAAATGGATGATGGTGTTGCTGGATTGAGATGGTATGGTGTGTATTTAAAATCAATAAAAAGAGAAGAAAAAGGACTTACGTCTTCTAATCCTGATATCGTTTGACGGCATTGTGGCATTTTTGAAACAAATGTGGATGTGGTCGGTGAATTATAGTCGTCGATCGCCTCGTCGACGAACTCACTGATTCCGATTAGGCCAGGCATTTTTCCTTTCGATAGGCGATGTTTTATTTTCAATTATGTTTTGTATGTATATGCCTGTGTGTGTGTGTATATGTGTTTGGTTTTTGGCTGTTGTTTCACGTAATCGAAGAAAATTCGCTAGTTTGCCGTTATTTATAATACCCACAGCCCTTTGATGTTTTCACTTGAATTATTTTTATTTTATACTTATATTTCTTTATATTTTGCGCACTTATTTGTTGCTCTTCTCTGGTTACACGAGTTGATTTTTTTTTTTGTGCTTTTGTTATTGACGATTTGATTATTATTAACTATGTTATTATTTCTTTTTGTTGCTGGTGGTATAATATTTTGTTGTTGCTTACTTCTTTGCTTCAATTTGTTGTTTCGTTTGTTCAGTGAAAATTATTTCATTTTTTTTTTTTCTTCTCTTCTTGTTTAAACGAAACGAAATGGGATTTGATTTCGATTTGATTTTTTTTCTTCAAATATCAGCACAAGAAAAAATAAACACAAACCAAAACATAAACAAAACAAACTTTCCTCGTTTTGGCTTCACTGAAACTTCACAATTTGCACACTGTTTTCACTTTGTTGCTGCGTTGATCCACCACATCATTCCAACAAAGTGCTCGAAATTACGGTGCATGTAAATATCTGAAAAAGATTTTTTGTATGTTTGTTATTAATAGATTGTCACATTTAACAGGATTGAAGAAGAACAGCAGCAACAGAAGTTGAAGCCGAAAAAAAAATGTGATAAAAAATTATAACATGCGAATACAAATTTGAATCTGTCAACTATTTAGCATGTTGAATCTTTGAACACAGTGGCTGTTTAACGTAACTCAAATGTAAATTTTGAAGAAAGGTTACAAGAATGCGCAATAGGTGAAAAAATAAATGATGAGAGACCACGTAAGATTTAGTGATGCCTGTTGACGACAAGACAAGGTGACGGTGACGAAGTGATGCACACAGATGACACACAGGCCACCATCAAATGAGATACGACATTCGTCCAAATGAATTTGATTTATTTATAAGCAAATGCAAATCTTACGAACTCATTTATTGTTGCTTTTTTTGCGAAACATTTTATTGGAGTTTGTAATTATGTTTTACTATCAACGCAAATTAATGGAAATTGGATATCCATGTTGATATCTCGTTGATCACTTCGAAGCATAAAGTGAGATAAATTGTGAATTAAACAGAGTTTTTTTTTTTATGCATTCAGGTGACTTTGACTCAAACAGGAACTTTCAAGTGTGATTCACATGTCAGATATTGTCACTATCGTTCCATTGATTGAGAGCTGAATTGAGGGTGCTACTGTCACATAGTGTCGAGAATAATGTATGTTTTTGATTTGATAGTTCATTGCGATACATCCTGTGTGCGTGTATGCATCACTACTAGTTCAACACCTTTTTTTCGTCACATAAACAATTTGTCAAAATGCTGGTCGGTCGAATCGATACAGTATTCTTACTCATTCTCTCTTTCTCTGCCGCGCGCACACATATAAACAATAACAGCGATGATTTTGGCACAGAAATTAAATGTTTATGCAAAATTCTGCGAACCAAATTATCAAAATAAAGAGCACACGTACACAACAAACGGACAAGTCCACTGTATGAGCTAAAAACGAATTTAGCGAATCAAATGCATGTACATATTTTAATACAAATGCATCATTTATGATGACAATTTCATTAAAAAAAAAAAAATTCTATCAAATTTATAATGTTCGTGTGTGTAAAAAGCAACATTAGTCAGTCACTTGATTGGCCAAAAAAATAAGATTGAAGTAACCATCCGCAAAATTGTCGTTATATAAACTTAAATTTTATGTCGTGTTTTACATTGTTTTTTTTTTCCCTCCTGTCTTTCTCAAAATTGTGCCATCGTTTCGAAATGCATTTTCAATGATAATTCACTTTCAAATTCGCATTGACACAACAAGCTGAACCCGAGTTTCCTAACAAATTCGTTCCATTTCCTTGTCATACTCATAACAACATTCTGGTTTTTTCTATTTCAATTCTGTTTTGTTTTTCTCTCTTCCTCTTGCTCGCTTGTTCGCTGTTTTTTCTCCTTCTTTTAAAAATTTGTTTCACTTGAATGCGCAGTGCCCAGTATATTTTATTAATTTTTCTAATGCCACTTTTAAACGATCCTTTTGATTCGGTAGAATTTTTTCGTACTTTTCTGCTTGCAATGTTGTTTCTCACAAAATATCAACACTTTTCCATTCAGAGGTTCAACAGAAAAAAAATTGTTTTTCAATCGTGTATTGAAAACGCCATCATCGCACACAAAACGACGTACACACACTGAACCTTCTCTCTACGTTATATTACAAAGATGATGATTATTATTACTACTATATTTTCCTCACCATTTTGCCATGTGAATGTGTTGGAGCGCGATTGCAAGAGGCGCGCTTATTTGTAAGAGTGTGTCAACCTTTTTTTTTCTGTTAGCTTACGATGGCTCATTCAATACGTCTGGTACGACTGTAAGTGTTTGAAATACACACAATTCGTTCGGTTGTAGCAAGATGGAATGTATTTTGGTCTCGCTCGGAATGTCGACCATACTTCAGTTTGACGCTTAAGTAACGGTCAGTTTGAGTATTTCAGCGGCTCATGTGTACTTAATTCTCGGTGTGTATTTTTCATTGTACAAAAATATCGATATTTATGGGCAACCTGTATGAAGTGCCCGTATTATTTCTTTGATAATTTTTCTTAATGAAATTTATGAAATACATCGATAAAATGCCGATTGTGAGTGCGAGAGAATGCGTCAGTATTTGACTGAAACTCAATGAACTGGAAACATTTGAATGAGACGAAACGAACGGTTGCCATTTCCACATTTTCATTTTGAATGAATATGCACTTGAGTAGTGTGTTTGACGTTTGAAATTCAGTTTTCAGCACGGCATTTGTTCACGAGTATGACGTTCGTAGTCGGTGTCTTGTCCCTATTGAAAGAAACAAATGTTTCTACATCGCAATTGTCTTATATGCAAAAACATTTTAAAAGCTGAATTCTCCCGTTTGGTGGTCTGAATTTAATTCTTTTGTGTAATTTACTGAAGAGTTTATCAATCAAAGAGAAAAAAATAAACTAAAAGTGTTGTATTTCGTTCGAGTTGAATTCAGTTATTATGTTTTGTTTCCGTGGAGGAGCACAACGAAAATTGTTTCGCTTTGAAATTGCGTTAAATGAATTGGTTGGAGAGCTGGTGCCGCTGTTATTGCAACGGTTCACATATCCAAGACCTGGATACGATTTTATTGGTTGTGGTTGACGCTGCGCTCGTGAATATTGGTTTGTAATGATATGTGTGCCGTCGTCACATGTACGTTGTTATGATTTTTTTTCTTCTTCTGTGTTTTCATTTCGGCAACGATGTTGTGTTATGGATGTATTTCGGTATGGATTGGCTGTGTTGTTGTTATGATGAAATAATACAAGACCAGAGAGCAAACTGTACTGGTGCTATTGTCGTGGTATAACATAGAGAACGAATGACACACGCTCACACAAGCACCATACACCATCATCCAAATCCAGACAAAAAACAATCGGTCGGTTTCATTCGCTCACCAACCCGTACACACAGGACGAATGAATCGAACGCGAACGCGACCGCTGTGGCTCGTTTGGCTCATTTTGTCAGTACACTTTTATATGCAGCGGTGTAAATAACTCGAAATTGTGTTTACAACCGACGACCAATTGCTTATATCGCTATAATACAATTGTACATAACACTAAATGCGATTCCATCACAAAGACTCTCTCCGTGTTTGTTGCAGACACGCATCGAATCAGAATCAATTTTACTGAAAACAAGGAACACAATTTCATTGTTGTTGTTGTTGTTTTTTTTTGCGAATCGCAATTCGCCAAAATAAAGATACGAAAACAAAAACAACGTTTGGAGGAATACGAATACGAATTTAGTGCAATTTATACAAGTTTACTTTCGGTGCGAACTAAATTCAAAACATTCAATGTTGATTGATCGGCAGTCCACTAATTTGTTGTTCGATTTGGTCTGTGAGAAATTTCGAGTGTCGATGAAGGTACGGATTTATTGAGAGAAAAAGAGAAAAAAAAAATCAACAAAACAAACGAGAGAAAGGAAGGAAGAAAGAAAACAGAAGCATACAAGCCATGTGAAATGAAAAATGAATAAAAGTACGGTGTAACCAAGAGTCAGAAGCGACAAAACGAATAAATTCTGTGTATGTGTGCTTTGCAAAAGCATTAATTCATCCTCATTTAAACCGCGATACACGACACAATTGGGGTGTGCGGACTCTCTCAAGCCTGGTTTCGAAGGCGAACATTTTTTTCGTTGGAGCTGTGAAGTTCTGGATCACACACAACACAGCAAAAATACAGCGCAACAAAACACAATACACAATCTCTTGACCAGCAAAAGAAAATCGTTAATCGGATATCATCGAATAAGCTTTTGGCCTGCAACTCATTCAATATTTAGTCGAACCACGTACCAACTCAGGTAAGCGCTTGAAAGCACCAAAACATTGACTCAATTTTGACTTCTTTTTTTTTTCCTGATATTTTCAACCCGAAAATTTTGAACGAATCATTTTAGCATTTTAGCATTTTTTGTCTGCATTCGCTTTTCATGTTCGCTTGTCGTTCATTCGATCCAATTTTTTTTTTTTTTCGACAGTCATACGTATTTCGACCAAACCAATGCGCGTTGTTCATTCACAGCTCTTTTCACTTCTTGTAATTTCCTTTTCAATGCTTTTCCGGATATTAGCATATTTCTCTCTCTCTTTCTCGCTCACTCTCTCGCTTTTTTGTCATGTATTTTTTTATTCTATTAGCCAAAAAAAAAAAGAGCCAGAAAAAAAGAATGAAATATCGATTTTAGTAAGTTGCATCCATACACAAATGAAGCTATGTAAAATTTAAAAGAATGGAGAACTGCTAAATAAATAAAGCAAACATTTTTTTTCATTTCATTGTCCAGTTGTGTGTTGTGACCATTTCGATGTATGTCAATATCGTCGAATGAAAAATGAAAATTTAGTGAGAAAAAAAAAAAAAAACAAATTGTTAAATCAAGAAGTAGAATTAGAAACAGAAGAAAAAAAGCACAGCCGTCTTTTCTCAAATGCATACACATACTGTAATTGTAGGCTTTTGAATATATAGGATACCAGTTAAATGGCTATAATTATGTGGAATGTATCAGCGATAAAAAAAAAAACAAACGTTTGCTTTATATGCGTGTCGCCGCAGTCAATCGACTTTTGTACACATTGAATTATTAGTTCGTTGATTTGGTCGTCAACAAATGCGTTCAATTTACTTGTAGCAATGCAAAATATTTGCTTGGCTCTGTTCGAACTATATTTCATCTATGTACACATCAAACGATGCAATGGCATCGAAAGTGGTCGATTTACGCTCGATATTTGATGTACACTTTTATTTGTGCATATTTCTTCCATTTCAATGTATGCCATTTTGGATAGTGTGATTGATGTAGACTAACATTTCTTTATCTATCCGTTCTTCTCCGATAGTGAGCATCTTTGCCTTGTTTTGCTTTACCAAACACCGAATATTCCATTGCATAAATATTCGACTATTTTAATAAATGATTAACAAATGCAATGCCGATTTGCCCTAGTGTTCAATCTAGTAGCTATAGGTATTTAATCAAATTATTGGAAAATCTCCTTTCTGTTCGAGAGCATCTATATGGTTCCCACAATGAAATTCGTAAATTCGATCGATCATCAAAGTTAATTTATATTGTGTTAAAAAAATTAACAACATTTGAAAAAGTCACACAGCATGGTAATTAGGCATCCAGTCCTGTATTATCGCTAAACAGCAGCTAAAAATATACAAAACCGAAAATTTGCCAATGAATCATATGAGAAACGTGTTTGATTCGCCTTTCAAAAAATAGAAGAAAAAAAATTAATGTAAATTTATACGTTAAATAAAAGCCAAATCAGTTCGATGTGATCGCATACACAACACGAAACTGCACACATGAATGAGCTTTAGAGCAACAGCAGAGTATGAGCGAGAAAGAGAGGTGTATGTATTTGTTGTTGAAAAAAAAAAAGTTATTGTGAATAGAATCGGTGACCAGATTGTGCTGATACGGTGAATGGTGGTAATTGTCTAGGCAAGTTCATTTACCCCAAGGCACATTGTATACAGTGAGAAGTTCTTTTTTTGACTGTTCGTTCTCGTTCTTCATTCTTTCTCTTTCTATTTCGGAATTGTGCAAGACCAAAACATACAGGACAATTATTGACAAAGAACTATGTCTGGTGGATTTATACGCTGTATACGAAATTAAGTACGCCTATGCATTTTGTACCGCTGCTAAGGCCCTGCATGTCGGCTTTCAATTCAATATTCATTTGTCAATTCGTTTATATGAATATTTATAATGCTATGAAAGTTATAATTATGCTGGAAATGTTTGTGACCCGTTTCCTCACAAAAGACGACCGAATGCGCATAGCAAAAAATGATCACAAATCCAAACACACTGCATGTTAACCATACAGTACATAAGATATTTGAGCAAGTGCACTGCATAGCATCACATCACATCAAAAAGCACCATCAATTGGATACTTTAAATGCACATAATACGCATCTATTACGCAATTTCGACAGCAAACTCTAACTAACAGAACAATCAACTAATTTTCAAATGGTTTGTTTACACTTTAATTCATCTGTTCTAAATATAAACAAATAAAATATAAGGAGTTAGTGTATGATATCGGGCTCCACACCGGTCTCATATCGATAACGTCGCAGATAATCGGCTTACAAGAATCTCTCATACACACCCGAAAAGGAAAGAAAGAAATCAAAGTGTGGAATTTTGATTCAATTGGGATAGTAATGCTGTTTTTCCTTCTTCTTCTTCTTCTTCTTCTTCTTCTTCTTCTTTGTTTGGTTGAAGCTTTCTTTAAAATGCTATTTATATCGTTGCCGTTTATGTGTTTGTGTGTATGCGCACATGCTATTGGGCATACGAGCTCTGGTTATGGCGTAGCAAGACAGACACGATTGATACCTCATATTTGGGCAATTTGATTCAATATCTTACAAATCTTTATGTGCACAACAATAGCAATAACAATAGCTCGACAGCTCATTCTCAATCCCTCTCTGTCTTGCACGTATACTCCCTTTCTCGCTCTCTCCAACGATGAGCTTGTGTAGTTGTCTCATTCTCTTATTTCTCACATAACGTAAAATGACGCACTTTTCCATTCATGGCAAATATGCTGATAAAAAGCATCGAAGCGATATCGGTTCTATGTGTGTCCAATAGTAAACAAACCGAGCCAAATGCTGAAAAATTGAAATCTCTTTTATTTCATGGATTGAAGAGTGTTTGTGTTCACAAATATCCACAACAACAACAATAAAAATAATAATAACAAGGGGGCGTGCTAGTGAGAGAAGGAGCGAGATAGAGCATAAGTAAGAGTGAGAGAGAAGAAGTAGAAGTCGCATTTGATGTCTGGCATGCAATTTACGTATGAAACAAATCACAGTGTATAACGTCAAGTGTGCGTGCAAATATTCGAGTGTGAAAATGGATACATAGGTCGCGAGGTACATTCAGTCCATACATGCATCTAAGAGCATTCTTAAGTCTTGGAAGGAAATCGTGCTGAGTATGCTCCGCAACCGATTCGTCTTTCGCTCACTTACCACGACAAAGTATTTGCACTATTTTCCTTGCCAAATCGATGGGCTATAGAAACATAGAAAAACGCGAAACTATATATGTAAAATAGTCAAAATGTAATGCGTAGTTTTTATGGCGCACCCATTAAAATATCTAGAGATGAAACTATTGTTGAGATTCGTTTTTTCTTCTTCTACTATTGCGGTCGCGACAGCCTCTGCTGCTTCTTCTTTTGTTGTTGTTGTTTTCAACACAAATTGAAAGTGTCAACGGCATTGATTGTTACTTTTAGAATTAGTTACTCTTGTTTTGTGCGTGGGCGAGCGTGTATGTGTGTGTGTGTGTGTGAGTGTGAGTGTGTTTGCGCGCGTTTATGGATTGTATAGCTTTTGATGCATCTATGCTTGAAACAAGCATTCGCATATACAAAGTTTGCACAAGCTCAATTTAGCCAAATATAATGAAGGCAATGACATGATGCACACACGAAAAAAAAACTCAGTCGCACTGTTGGCATTCCGTTGTCGTCATTGAAACAATGATTTTTCACTTGGCGCATGTGACACCGAGTTGAATATTTTTTTTTTTTTTTTTTGAATGCGAGAGTAAGTTGAGCAACATCTCTGGGTTTCAATCTAAATTCGGTATGATTTAAGGCTGTGTTTACATGTGATTATGGGTCACATGTGCGGTTTTGGCGAATGCGATACAAAATTGATCATCTTGATAAGCATGCTTCTTGTTATCTTCTATAAATAGAACATGAACAATAATAAATTTTATTTAATATGAAAAAAAAAAATAAACGAAAACAAAGCCCACATGTTTTTTTTTTTCATCCTGATTTCGTTGAATATTCACGTTCAATTCAGTCCAACCAAACAGTTACATGTTGGAATGAGAATAAGAAATTTCAACTTAGCCATTCTATGCATTTATCAAGTGCCATTGAAACACACACCGCTTTTAAATGCATGTACAGATATCATTAGTGTACAAAAGCACTCACTATCCTCTTACCTCATGCGATGTAATCAACCAAAGCGCTTGTGAACTTCTTTTTCTTTTGGAAATTAAAAGAACAGAACAGAAAAATGACTGCATCGGTTTATTTTCCATTTTCAACACAACCGAACATTATTCCGAGAAAAATGCATGAATAGTAAATCATTTTCAAAAGTTTACTTTCCATTTCTTCGAAGTCAAATGACATCAATTCGAGTTTATATGGTGAAAAACTTTTCACATTAAACATTCTCTCGATGTCCTTTCGGTGAATTGCTCCAAAATAATCGGCATTACTTTATTATTAGAACCTGTGTAAACATCGCGGTAGCGGTGGTTGTCTTTGACAATGTGCTAAGTGAATGGAAGACTCTGTTTATCCAGTGGCCCGCACACTCTCACTCTCCCTCTCTCGTATATTGTAAGTCGTAAAAACGGAAGGAATGAAATAAATTTTGCATACATCGTAAATATTATTCCACTTAGTACAGTCTTCCTTATCTAAAGATTAACTGTTTCGGAAAGTTTTCATTAACAGCGAACGCTAAAGCGATATAAAGAGCACTTTCCTAATTGATCCTCCGTTTTGTTTTCTCTTATTTCTCAAGTGTTTATAATAACTAGTCGATAGGTCGTCACATTATCTTTGATAAATCATTTATAAATCGATTAATCTAGAGACGCTTATGATCAACACTCGGAACACACTCGCTTAGTCAGCGATTGTAAACAATGTTGTTGTTTCTGATCGTAGGCAATGATTATTGTGCCGTGTATTATGATTACTGGAAATATGTTAAATCACTCAGAAAGTTTAAAATGACCATTTGAAAAGATGGTCCTTTGAAGTGACGTGGTTTTTTTTGCATTTTTCAAAAAATCCATTAAAAACATCGAACTCTCAAGATCAATGTCAAAAATTTGGATTTTTTGTATTGAAGTGTGTAATCAATTGACGGAAGTCGTCACATGATCATGTATTAAATGTACCGGCCACAGACAAAACAATGTTGATAGCTATTTTAAAAACGGCGCCAGTGCACCACACATTTCAGACATACTCATAAAAAAAAAAAATTTAAACTCTACAGAGAGATAAATTTTTTTTTATTTTGATTAATCACTTTCGCATGAACATTTATTGATTTATATTTGAACGGCACAGGGAACATAAAGTACAGAGTAATGGAAGAATGGATAACGAACAACCGCACCAAGAGTTGGTGAAATGCGTCTTAGTTGGTGACACCGCAGTGGGAAAAACACGATTAATTTGTGCCAGAGCTTGCAACAAGCATGTTTCACTGTCTCAACTCCTGTCAACACACGTACCAACAGTATGGGCCATAGATCAATATAGAATTTACAAAGATGTGAGTACGCTCAACAGAGAAACAAAAAAGAAATAACTAAATCAGATTGTAATTAGTTAGTGGTGATTGACCGTAAACATTGAATTGTTACAGGTGCTTGAACGATCATGGGAAGTAGTTGATAATGTGAACGTTTCACTTCGGCTATGGGACACGTTTGGGGACCATGACAAAGATCGTCGTTTCGCTTACGGCCGATCGGATGTTGTGCTTTTGTGTTTTTCAATAGCAAATCCAACGTCACTACGGAATTGTTTGGCAATGTGGTATCCGGAAATTCGACGATTTTGCCCAGAAACTCCAGTCATTTTAGTCGGATGCAAAAACGATCTTCGATATATGTATCGTGATGAGGCTTATTTATCGTATTTTGGTGACAAAAGTCCACTTGTTAGGTAGAGCTACATGTGTTTTTTTTTTTTTTTTAAATAAACAAAAACTGAACTTGGGATTCTTTTAAATCGTAAGATTATGATTTCTTTGAAATTCAACGGAATTTTTGTTTGTGTCCAAAATTGGACTTGTTGAACATTTCTTCGTTCTTTTAAATATCGAATAACATTACATTTTTTCACTTATTCATAACAGAGCTGCACAAAAAAATGATCTAGTCATGCCAGATGAGGCTCGTGCTGTGGCAAAGGAGCTTGGAATTGCCTACTACGAAACCAGCGTATTCACATATTTCGGTGTGAACGAAGTGTTTGAAAATGCGATCCGAGCCGCGTTGATTCAACGGAGACATCAACGATTTTGGATGACAAATTTAAAACGGGTCAAACGACCACTATTACAGGTACGTTCAATAATCAGCTCTTTCTGATTTGTGTTTAAAACACCGAATATTTTTCGTTTCAAATGTAAACCACTTACCAATCAAATCGAATCTTTAGGCTCCGTTTCGACCACCAAAACCATTGCCACCCGAACTCACAATTTTGTCGGAGACCCATCAGAAGGACATGCTCAACATGTTGAAAAATCAATTCTATGCTGATTTAGTGATAGTTGTGAGTTCGATTCGATTTTTTGTGCATCGTTTTGCCATTGCAGGCGGGTCGCAAGCATTCAATAGATTGTTGAACATTGATTTCACCGACATGGGCGCCAGAAGTAGCAGCGAATCAAGTGTGGTTAGCTCAACGTACGGTGACAATTCAAATGCCGATTTCAACGAAGAAACCGAATACTTGATTCGCTGTGATCAAAGCAAATTACCACAACCGAGGTAGGCAACATAAACCTAATATGTGATTATATGACGCACATACAAATATTTTATAATATATTTTTCTTTGAATTCTCTCTTTTATTTATTTTAATTTTATAAAAACCGTAAGAATGTGGGAACAGCTTAAAAGGCGATCGAGCTACCAAGCACTTCCAACAATCGAATCAAAAAAGCCAATCGATATTTTTAGGGACTTACATCATCCAATTTTTCAAAATATTAGGATAGTACATGTACTTATCATTCCAAAAAAAAAAAAAAAGAAGAAACAAATTCCATTTCAACTCGTTGATCGACAATTCATTAATACTAATTCGAATCGTTTTCTCTACGTACTACGTGCGATACAAACGTATTTCTTTCAGAACGAATCGAGTCGTCACAATTCGAATTTGATTCAGGCTCAAACAACCGTCACGCTAAGTAAATTAGTAACACCACAAGCAGTGCATCAATGTTTGAAATTTATTTATTCGGGATCTTTTGACTTGGACTATCCAAATCTGAAGGTACGTATCACAATTCTTTGAACGCGTGTGTGTCGTTTGTTCGAACTTTGCACATCAATCATTTACCAAATAAATACCGATTAAGAACACAAACAACGTTTAAAAGTTGATGTCGAAAAAAACCAGCTCTCATCGCATGAATGCACAAATTTGTGTCTGTTTGTATAGAAGAGTTCATTGTTCTATTACATAACCTTTTTTTTTAAATGTGTGTGATTATGTTAACTAGCTCGTTCGAACACAAAACTATATATATGAGTAGTGCATTTTTTGTAAAAAAAAAAAAATCCTCAATGAAATGACTTCTCCACAAAATGAATGAAAAAAAAATATTACACAAACGTAAACATCTCCATCTCGTTGTCAATCATGCTGCTTTGTTTCAAAATGCATCTCGAACGAATGAAAAAAAGTGGAATACACACACACACACACACACACACACACACACACACATACACCAAACCAAAATCAAAAACCTCAATTTTTGTTTGTCGTTGTATAGAGAGAGCACACTGTTGTTTAGAAACTCGTTCATGTTTTCAACTTTTAATTTTTGTTTATATTTATAACCAAGCAAATTTTTCCATAATTTTTCGCAGACTACTTCAATAGGACTTTTACTGGTAAATAGTGGCTTCTTTTTCTTCTTGTTAGAATCCGTTGGTAAAGTTATGAACCAAAAAAAAAAAAATGACAAGTGAACATGATAACTGCTCCGGAAATCAAACCTTATTTTTAAGCCTCTCCCCTTAGATCAAGAATGATAAGCATTTGCTTCTTTGTTGTTATTGTTCGTTATTTGTTTGTGGTTCCCGAAGATTGCACATTAATTTATTTGGTTTCGATTGTTTTTTTTTTTTCATTTGTAGGAAATACAACAAGCTGCTGAAGTTTTAGAAATTCCATACTTGAGCAAAGCGATTGCCTCTTTTATACAACAACCGGCAGCACAAAATGAAAATGTTCAAAGTTACTTATTGGTAAGTGTCCAAATGTGTTATTTTGCCCGTCAATAGTTAAATTTCCTTCGTAACGATCACCAATTGCAAATATTTTCCCTCATTGAAATGTTTCATTGTTGCAGCTCGTAAAGAAAAATCTGGAAAAATTCATTGGATCGAGTGCATTTACGGATGTTACATTTGAGCTTGATGATGGCAAAATGAAATCACATCGAGCAATGCTAATAGCACGATGTGATATGATGCGAGCCATGCTGAATGGTGACTTTAGAGAAGCGCATGCACACACTGTATGTATGACACAAGAACATATTGGCAAACACATAAAACAATTAACTTTTTTTTTACCCTCTCTTGTCACGCAGATCATTTTCCCAGGCGTCACAAAATATTCATTTCATAAGCTTCTGTGCTATTTGTACACCGACGAAATACCTCAAATATCGACCGACAAATGCTTAAATCTGTTGGAAGTGGCGAATCGACTGTGTCTGCCTCGTTTGATCAATTTAATTGAATGCCGTGTCATCGAGGATCTGACAAATATGTCACAAAATGACACTATCGAAACGGTGAAAAATTGTCTGCATCTCCTCGAACCGGTCAAGGTGAGTTGAATGTGTTAATTTGTTATTTAAAAATTCGTACTGTGTTTTGGGTGGTACTAAATTGCTCCTCAACTCAATTCATTTCCTTTTTTTTCCGTTTGCAGTTACACAATGCGCACCAATTGGCCGAATGGTGCATGTCGTACTTGTGTGTCAATTACAATGTAATATGTAAAACATTGCCGAAAAATTTGAAAGCACTGCATCCAGAGAATCAGGAGTATTTGCGTGAAAATCGATGGCCGCCGGTATGGTATCTCAAGGATTTTGATTACTATCAACGATGTATGAACGAAATGAATCGTGAATGTAAGCAAGGGAGTCGTGGCAAGATCAAGGATGAAAATGAGGGTTGCATGTGTTTTTCGGGTGGTAAGTGCGTGCGGACAGACTCGCGAACATCAAAATTCAATTAAGATACTCACACCCTCCCCACCACACAAACACAAAATCAAACACGAAGACAATCAATTATCAACGACAATTTCAATTGATTTAATCGTCTTAACACACTGCTAGCATACCAACCAGAATTCGCTTTTTTATCTCTCTCTCCCTGTCTGTGTCTATTTGTCGAAATGCATCTCATTCCATTTGTTTTTAGATAGCTTAAAAATTTTAACGTAAATTTGGAAAAAAGTTTTCTCTTGGCTGACAGGTAGCAAGAAGCGGCGACAAGAAATCGATTCGGCCCGAACGAATAATTCACGCCTGGTTTATTCACCGGACAACATGAACCTGATCAACAATAATGGCAATCAGAACTCAATTAACATGATTGATGCAGACCCAGAAGCGGATTTAAATCTTTGACATTTGGCCAATTATGGATCAGGGTAAAGAAAATTTCAACTAAAATACACAACATTTGAATATTTTAATTTTTCAATATTTTATTTTTTCTTTCATTTCAGCTCCATTGAATTTACCGTCGTTTTACCCGTTCTCATTTGTTTTATATGCACAATTCTGAGTATCCTGATTCTTCTGCAAATGTTCGTTTAAGTAGTGCCGATTAGTCGACAAACGTAGAGTCACCAATATGAATGGAGCATCGCATTCAATCGACACATTTTCATAACATTATTCCAAAAACAAAAATACACGGCGAAAAACATTTATTGTCTATGAGGCATATTCCATTGAAGACTGTCATTTTACGTAAAACGTAGTTTAACTGTAACAACAAACAAACCAAAAAGCGTAAACATTTGGGAACGTTTGTATGAGAGACATAACAAATGAATCTTTTTGTATTTGATTAATTGAACAAAAGACATTTTATCCTATTCGCAAACCAATTCAACGCAAAAAAAAAAACCAATCCATATAAAATACGCAATTAAATTTACGGAAACGTTTCATATATAGTATAACAACAACAACAAAATCGTCCGCGATAGTAATTTTAGTGCAGAATATTTTTCCATTTCCAAAAATGTAATTTTCTCCAATGAAAACACTTCAATTTTTATTATTCCGACCAGCGACTTAGATTTATAATAATACAAAAATATAATCGATTCGGTTTTTCTACTAAAAAAAAAAATGCGAGAATACAAAAAAAAAACTTTTCCACTTCAATTGCATTTAATAATATTTTCATGCTAATTTTTTTTCGTTGGCATTTCTTTCCTACGATTTCGTTTGCCAAGCAGAAATTTTTTTATTTAAAACTTTTAAATCGAGAATACTCTTGCTTTACTTCTCATTTCTTTACTGGCGAAAATAAAATTGAAATTATTCAAAAAAAAAAAAAAATATTCAAAACAAATGTGTTTTATTTATTCCTCAAAACGGTCGTACAGATACATATATTCCTTTATTTGTAACATTTTCCGCAATTTATTTGTTATTTTCATTTTATTTTTGGATGAAATGTTTTTGTTCAACATTCCTCTCAGATGCAAGTCTATTATTCCATCATTCAGCGGATCGAATAATTATTTGCAATTGACACCGATTTTCAATTTAAAAAAAAAATGTTTCTTCTTTATTCATCGAACATTTTTCTTCAAACTCAAAAAGTATTGCAACTTTTCTCGAATTCCAAATAAAATGGTTTTAAATTGAGAAGAGAATAAATGAAATTGAAATGTGTGCTTGAAATCACTTTTGATCGCATGTATAAGACCCTTTGCTGTGTTGCTGAATGTTTCGTTGATGGTTTTCGATAGGGACATCAGTACGGCTATTGCAATGATGACAGCGCGCCAAAACCTGTGAGTTTTTTTTTTATCATCAAGCGGGAACGTCATTCGTCTATAATAGTGATAAATATTGTCCGACAAAAAGAAACGTAATAATTTTCTGTTATATTCCACATGTTTTCCTACAATTGACGGTGCATTTTGCGCCAAATGCTACGTTTAAGAAGAATCATTTGATTTGTGAATCGACTGTGCGCCACATAAACGACGGTAGATCACTGGTTAGCTACAAAAATCAAGTAAAAAGGAGAGGTCAAACATAATTGGCGCCATTTTTCGTGTTCTCAATTTAATTTTCGTTTCGCGTATATACACACATAGAATATATACAACGGAGGTGTAGCGAAGTTCATTGCTTTTGTTGTCGGTTTTGCACGAGCAAGCAAAACGAAACAAGAGGCTTACTAACAATATAAAATCAAATCGAGTGAAAGAATTGGAAACGCCACAACGCATCGAAACAAAATAAAAGACACACACACACACAAAATAATACAATTTAGTGCAGTTTTAGTTTAAAAAATGTTGACGAATGAATCGAGCGATGAGATCGACGACAGAATCAAAAGCAAATATGTACATATTTGCGAGCAATTGGAAATCGATGACTCGATAGTGGAATCAACTTGGGACAATTACCGATCCATTCGCAATGATCACACGCTGGAGGTGAGTAGATTTTAAGAGTAAAATGTGAACAATACCATAATTGAAATGTTGTTTGCCTGTGACACGATACATAGATCGATACTGATGGATTGGTTTGCATGTTTTTGTTTTTTTTTTTTTTTTCTCTTTTTTTTTCTTTGTTGCGTTTCTTGTGGACACAACACAAAGGGCGGTGAGATTCAGTGGCTTTGCTGCGCGCTCTACGTCAACCTCACAGATAAATCGAACGAACTGTCGGAGATTTCTTTAACAAAACTACTTCGTTTGTGCAATATAAAAATTTATGAGTTTTTAAAGAAAACCGAACAATGGTTCAGTATTCCGGGAGTCAGCACATCGAGTGAATGCCGTGAACGATTCAAGCGGCTGCGAGCGAGTTTGTCCGTATCGATATTGTCTTATGAAAAATACTCATCAATTTTCTGTGAATATTTTACGAGTCCAAATAATTCGGAGGAGGCTGCATTGGCAGCCGCTACAATATCCACACCGCAAAAGGGGAAAAAATCCAAGCAGGCCAACAAGTGCACACCAAACAATGTCTACGAATTTTGTTGGTATCTTTTCATATTGGCGCAGGGTGAGAATCCAGAGCATTCCATCGATATAGTGACATCGTTTCACATGCTGTTGTGCTGCATTGATCTGATATTTGCAAACATTGTGGCCGACAAGCGTGACGATTTGCTGAACATGAAATTTGGACCGGCCGCCGCCGCACTGAGCAAGGACAAAAAATCCGCCGACACCGAACCGGTTTCGATCATCAAAGAACTGTGCCAACAGCAAGAGGCTCCCGAAATTGATGCCCTCGAAATCAAATCACACAACTGGAAAGAGTTGATGCAGAAATTCTTCCGCGATAATGTTCTCAAAGGGAATGCCAACACTTTTTTGGGCATTTTATCGGCACAAAACCACGACAGCAACATAAAATCGCTCAAGAAACAGTATGAAGCGTACATTCGACGCGATGGGAAAATTGATGAAGGCATCTTTTTGCTGCAGGCACCAAACGACAGTGTATCCGATCCAAAAACTCATTCACAAATCATCAAAACATTGGCACCCGACACGCCACTCAGTGCAAGGCACAATTTGCCGACCCGCGATCCAATCCTAGCATCACCGGTTTCGAACGCGACGCAAAATGTCAATCGATTGCATCAACATTTGAACAGTTCGACAGCCGAACCCAGCAAAAGTTTGAAAGATCTCTTCAAGACTTGTGGAGTCAATCCACTGCCCGAAATCGAAGCAATTCAGAAATCGATGCGAGAAAAATTCCTCAGCGAGTTCAGAACAAACTCGGCCAGTGATCGATTCGAGTTAGCGGTCAAACTCTACTATAATTTGCTTGAAAAGATCATTCGCAAGGAGAGAAGCCAAAAGCAGAACTTTCATCCGAACGTGAGTCAATCGGAAGAAACTGTTTTTTTCTTTTAATTTTTCTTTTTCATTCAATTGTAACAAAAATCATTTGTTTCTTCATTTAGATTTTGAAAAATTCAAGATTCCATATGATGCTAATGGCTACATCGGTTGAAATCGTTATTTATGCATACGGCGCCTCTCAGAAATTCCCATGGATCCTCAATTGCTTTAGAATAAACGCATTCTATTTCTACAAACTGATCGAAATTATCATATCTAATGAAGAAGGCATTTTAAGCCGTGATCTCATCAAGCATTTGAATGCTGTAAGTATCGCTCAAATTGAACCGCTCAACCGATTAAAGAACAAAGTTTATGGTCATTGTAAGAGCAAAATAGTTTTCTTGGAACAAATGACTATATTTTCTTGAGAGATTTTCATATCGAACAGAATCTTTTTTCCCCCTTTTTTTTCCAAATAAATAAGCGCTTCTTCTGAATTTAACACATGCAAAATCCAATTTATTATTCGCTTAGATCGAGGAACAATGCCTTGAATCGCTCGCTTGGGAAAAAGACTCACCGTTATGGACAGAGATAAATGACTGGCTTTCTCGACATCATTCGTTACCAAAGCAAGAAGACACAATCAGCAGTTCGATTGGGCTATTCTTTCGAAAATTCTACAAATTGGCATTTGTACGCATCGAAAAGTTGGCCACCGACTTGGAATTGAAAGGCAATCAATATCTGCAAAAGATTTGGACTACGTTTGAGTATTCCATTTTGCATCGCATTGATCTCATGAAGGATCGTCACTTGGATCAGCTTATCATGTGCTCTATTTATATATTTGCTCGTGCACGAAATTTGCCAACTAAATTCAAAGACATCATGTCCGCGTATCGTACACAACCGCAGGCGGAGAGCAACATCTATCGAGAAGTGTTGGGAACGGACAACAATCGTTGTGACATCATCGATTTTTACAATCGAATTTATGTGCATGATATGAAGGAGTTTGTGTTGCGCTTGAGGGCTTCAGATGATGTTACATTATCACCATTACCGGTCAACATTCGAGCCCAACAATATCCCCGCAAAATCTCACAGAGTCACAGCATCTACGTGCAGGAACTACAGAGCAATGAGATTCTACAATCACCCGATCCAATCGCATATACATTCATCTCAAGCCCTATTCAGGTAGCAATTTTGAATGATTTTTTTTTTCGATTTTAAATCTCAAACATACATTGGTTTACTTGTCGAGAGTAGAAAAACCTCTAACCATTTTGTGTGTTTTTTTTTTTATTTTGAAACAGAGCTTCCGAAAGATTGACCCAACGGGTGATGAGCACAACTCGAACGGTAAACGAACTTTACCGTTCAACGGTGGTGGCGAACAACAAGAAAAAGACGCCAAAGATCAGCCTGAAATCGTCCCATACACAAACAAAAAACTACGAAGTCTGATGACCGACCGTCAAGAGAAAGCCGACAAATAATAAACAATTGCAACAAATATGAACCAGAGAGAGAAAGAGAGAGAGAGAGGGAGAGAGAGAAACTACCAACCGAAATTCTATATTCCTTCAAAATAATCAGAATACATATGTAACAGTAATACAATACTTGAAGTAATTGATAAGACATACACCTTCTATGTAGACATTGCTTGCACCCGACTTGCACCACACACAATTTTAAAGTAAATTTTGCGCCCGTTTTAACTTCCCAGCGGAAGTTCGATTTCAGAATCTATATTCAAATTGAACACTACATTTTGTATTACAAAATCTCAATACAAATGCATGTCTTTTTGAATTTTATGTAACGACAAAATGCATGACGTTACACGATTTTGTTTTAGATATTCATTTATTTTAATTTTTTAATTGTACAACGAGAAGAAAATGAGTGAGAGGACGAGAGAAAGATAACTGAGAGAGATAAAGTAGAGAGCATTTGCATACATTTAGCTAAAATCTTTGCTATAATTTATTTTATTAACACAATATTATACAAATGATATACATATTTTTTTTTCTTCTTCTTCATGGATAAAATGTCACGATTGAATTGATTGCTTCAGTGAACCTTTCGATTCAGTGTTTTTTTCTCCTTTTAATTTCATACTGGTATTTAAACACATTGACACAGAGTTTGAAAAAGAAATAAAAAAAAAGAAAAGTGATTTTATCTATAAAATATAGCTGTTTGTTTCTATTTTATTTTCATCGAACACAGCAAAGGGCCATTAGACATTGAAGGGCCATTGACGCGTTCACACTAACGTCTTCATTTCTTCGAGCAATATTTTAAACCTCATCTGTTCCGACCGACTTGTCACACTGCATTTCATTTTCAAGGTTGCACCCGATAATTGCCTATTTCTACGCGTTGATTCCGCATTTAAACACCATTTGCAAAATTATTCAATTGTATGCTTTATTCTGAACAGAGACAACATTTTATCTTCGTGGATGCTTACAAATCCCACTTCTTTGTTAGTTTTTTAATATTTCATTTATTGGTCATAACCAACTAGGCGATGCATTATTGGAACGCGCTGCAAATTTGAATAGTTTCGATCACGTTTTGTTGATGTCATCATCAGAAGTTTTGAAGTAATCCCGATTGTTTCTGCCGATTGAAACGTCCTGAAACTGTTGGCAAATGCTGTCATCCAAACGCATCAGAAAATGTTCAACGCTTCTGTTGTACGATTCAAACTGAAAAAAAATGATTAGCGTTTTTTCTCACTCACCTTCACTACGCGCAATTGACGGGATCTATCACCATGGTCCAAATCGTTTCTGGTATGGGCATTCAGCGAAAGTTTGTCAATTTCCAAATGTTCGAGCATGGAACAATCGAGCATGCACAAATTCTGGTATCCAATTTTAAATTTATCCAAAATTTTATTTTTACCAAGTGTGACCAGGGCTAATCGAACCCATCTTTGCGACGGTTGATTTGCAATGAAATATTTGAATGTATTGATGACATAATGATTGACATAAGCGGATCAATCACCCTCTCGCTCAGTCACAGTCAATTTCGTTAGGGACATCATTTTTAGGACTCATGCATATTGATTACAGTAAAACCTCGATTATCCGTCAGGCACCGGACCAGCGCATTGACGGATAATCAAAAAAGACGGATAATCAAGACTTTCATATAAATAAAACAAAATAATCAAAATTTCCATACTTTCTAATTAGTTTATGATGAAAAACAAGGTGATGTAAAAAATATATAATAGATATGAAAACAGATTTGGTGTATTGTCCAAAATATTGGACAATCTTGTGTATACGAGAAGTGTACCGAAAACGCAAAGCCTCTGATTTCAAATCTTATTGTGCGAATGTACAAGGGGCACACAATTGATTTTGATTATGAAAGTTAGTTGGCAACTTTATTCGTATGTTCAAGTGAAATAAACTGAAAAATGAACTGAAAAAAAACTTTTCCACCTTGAAATGGTGTGACGGTTAACGGAGGTGACGGATAATAGGAGGACGGATAATCAAGGTTCTACTGTATACGTACACTACCGTGCACTCTTGATATTTTGTGCATAGTTTCTACAACGTTTCAATAGTAAATTATAGAGGTTTCATCGAAAAATATTCACGTATTTAAAAAATATATTAATTTGAATTTGATCTGTTTTAATCTTCATACAAATTTGATCATTTTTCTCACAGTACAAATTCAAATTGCTATATTTTTGAAATTCATGAATATTTTTTGATGAAACCTCTGTGATTTACTATTGAAACGTTGTAGAAACTATACACAAAATATCAAGAGTGCAGGTGTTTCCGAAATATGTTAATGAGTCCACCAAAAATGGTCAATTTGTATGAAAAATACCTAGTGGTTCCAAACTTTTGCACGGTAGTGTATATTTGGAGATAAGAATGGAATCGCATTTGTTTGCATAAAAATTGACCATTTCTTTGGACAGAAAATTGTGTGCCTTTTCATGGCGTTCAATTGAGATAATAATAACGAACATTTTCTTATCCACAAAAATTCAACTAAAATGGATCATTGATTGACAATTTAGAAAAATGAATGTTGCATCATTAAAATTTATTCAATGTTATCATTTAATCATATAATAATTACAATAAATTGTTTCCATAAAAATATTCAATTTAATTTTTCTTCTTTTTATTCTTATTCTTATTCTTGATTTTCTGTGGTTTTTCATAAACATTTGTAACGAATTTCTTTTGTTCCTCATCCTTTTTACGTTTCTTCTCTTCGGGCGTGAGTGTTGGTTTGCCAGCCAATTTTCGCTTCTTCTTGTTTTCGGTTTGATCGTCGGCGCCGTCACCATTTGTAGCTTCGGTGCCATTTTCACCATTTTCATCGACCTTCAATTCTTCGTTTTCGTCATCCTTTGACACTGGAATAACATCGGAGAATTTCTTGAGTTTTGCAACAAAAAAACCGTCCATATTATGCGTGTGTGGATAGTAACGGCGCGTAAGTTTCATTGTTGGATGAAATCGATGTTGGCGATAATTAACAAAACCTTCCGTTCCAAAATCAAGACCAGTTGGCACAAGCTTAACGTTTCGTTTCTTTAACACGTAGTCAATGACCCATTCATTTTCCTCGGGCAAAATTGAGCATGTGGAATAGACTACATAGCCGCCAGTTGCGCTCTTTGCACTCAGACAGTCAATAGCTGTAAGCAATAATTTACGTTGGATATTGTAGCAACGTTGCACATCGACATCAGATTTGGATGTTTTCGCACTGGGATCTTTTGAAATGACACCAGTTCCTGTGCATGGAGCATCAACCAATATACGATCAAATCCCGTCATTATACTCTTGTATTTGCAACCATCTTCGCAACTCACAACAGCATTCATCACACCCAAACGATGGAAATTACCGACCACGGCCTTGATACGATCTCTGTTTGCATCATTTGAAAAAAGCACACCGGTATTTTTCATGAGTGCTGCGATATGTGAACTTTTGCCACCCGGTGCGGCACACAAATCCAGCACACGTTCATTTTCTTGTGGTGCCAAAGACATCACCGGCAACATACTACTCGCTCCTATAATGGCATTTTGTGGGAAAAAATATTTTAAATTAATGTGTATGGATTGAGCGGCTTTGTCTTTTTTTTCTCTTTCCGAAAAAAATTCTAGCCATTCAACTGAATTGTTATAAAGCGTACGAACCTTGAATCATATAATGACCAGCAAGATACTCTGGTGTGGCGCCCAGTGGAACGTTTGAATTGTAAACAACCAAACCGATTTTAGTCCATTTACCAAGTGGATCCAAATTAACACCGCGATTGATAAGAGCGGCAGCCAAATCACGACGACGTGTTTTCAAGCTGTTGGTTCGGATTGTGAGCGGTCGAGGAACCTCTGATGCTTCCAAATACTCGAATAATTCATTTACTGGGAAAATTTGCATCAATTTCTCCATTAGAAAATCGTTATAACTGTAGTACATGCACAGATCTTTGCGCAATAGCTCCAAGTAATCTTGGCGTGATTTGTTCGGCAAACGGCGTCGATTGAAATCAGCCAAAACAACGGAAATATCTTTAATCCGTTGTTGAACGACCTGCAATGTGACTGGTGTTTCGTCGCTCTCGTCCGGAAACTGGAACACTTCTTGGTTGACCATGCTCTCTTGCAACTCTTCTTCAGCCAATTTTGCCTCTTTCTCTTGCTTGATTTTCAGTTGTCGGTTTTTCTTTTCAATCGGCAACTCTTCTTCATCGCTATCTTGATCGCTATCATCCGATTCAGCTTCACCATCGAATCTGTCATCTTCTTCTTCCTCATCTTCGTCTTCGTCGTCGTCGTCGTCTTCACCAGTGAAGTTGGCCAAACTTTCGACCTTTTAAGGAGATAACAATTGAAAAAAAAATTAAATGATCGAAAAATAAATCATTGAAAGGTTTTTAATATGAGGAGATTTCAATTCTTTTAACTACAATAATAAACAAGCACGTCTCGTCACAACATGGAAATGGACTTTTGATAATAGCTCATATGAACAGCAATTTGACTGCTTACCTTCAAATTGTCATCATCTTCCGATTCTTCTTCTAGCTCTTCCTCTAATTCCTCGTCATCTCCAATTTCTTCCTCTTCATTTTCTTGTTCTGATTCCTCGACATCCTCATCGCTGTCTTTCTGTACCGATTTCTTCGGTTTCAACCATTCGCTGTTATCATCGGTGAAGCCATGCACCACATTCTCGCCTCCGTCACTTTCAAGTCCATTTTCCTCAGCGTCACTCTCTTCCTCGTTGGAGTCACTCTCATCGTTTGAGTCACTGTTGTACACTTTTTGCGGTTGCTTCTGTTTGTTTTTATTACGGCCATAGCCGCTCATTTTGATTTTCTTATCTTCTTGCTTCTTTACACGTTTTACCAACCGTTGTTTCTGGCGATGTGATAGTATTTGCTCTTCTTTATTCTCTTTTTCAGCTGAAATAACGTACAAAATTGCGATTTTTTTTCAAGCCGAACGTTAACAATTCGTAATAGAACATCAAAAACCAATGGAATTTCCAGATTTACCTTTGAATTGTCGGCTGAGCACTGGTGGTCCTTGCTTTTTAGCCTTCCTACCCGGACCCTTTTTTGGCTTTTCGGCGAACAAACCCTTGCGACCCATTTTCAAATGAAGTATAAAACCAACGATGGATAATAATTAACAACGAATAAATTCGTTTTTTCTCGAAATAATCAACGAATTGGATTCACAATGCACACAAGCGATACTTGTACCGACTGAAATGTGCTATGCGACTATTTACACGTGCTTATGTTTGCAGCACAGAATATGACAACCGAGAGAAACAACACCAATTTGCTGAATTGCTGAATTGCTGTATCGTTCACGAGAACTGTCAAAGTAAATGTGCTGAAATACCTTCACATCAACACATACACATTCACACATCGATTTAGCCGTTGTTATACCTCGAATATTTGAAATTTAAAAAAAAAATGGAAAATGAAATGTTTAGATGATAGAATGATTTTTCTATACAAAATTTAATTTAATTTAATTTAATTTATATCCAAATGTTGAAATATTCTTGCGAATTTTCTCTAGAATGCAAATCGTTCAGTGTTCGTCAATTGAATGAAATGACAGATATCAATGTTTTTTCCCCAAATCCGTTATCCGAGTTTTTTTTTATTGTGTCATTAACTGAAGCCAAATTCTATAGAAATCTCACAGAACTTGATTTCAAGGCAAAGCGATCACATTTGCACAAGGGAAGAGAGTCGAAAGAGTAAATCATGCCCAATTTCGGAAAAATAATATAAAGTGAATTCACATTGATGAAATCTCTTTGATTGGAAAGAAAGAGTTCGCCCGGTTTTTCACAACAGTGCTTGATCTAACCTCAGTTTTCATTTCGACAGCAAAATATGTCGACCAACAATTGGAAGGCCGCGATTAATAAAATAGCTGCTGGCATACAACGTAACGCCACATTATCATTGCGGGAAGCTAAAAAGTCGTTTGATCAGGAAGGCCTTTGATGAATAGGTCAAGAAATACTTTTTCCATGTTTCGAATATAAGGTAATTTTTTGACATCAATTTTTTTTGCATTTGTCAATTAATTTTACTTCGTTTGAAGGCAGCCTACTACAATTTCGAAATGGAGCTATTGACGCATGGTGAAAGTAGTCGACAAATCCAAATGAAACCGAATGATACCTCGATGAGTACGCGTCCGAACGGGAAAACACAGGCTAGTGCATTCAGCCACAAGGAAAGCAGTGCAGTATCCACCAAAAGTGCCGACGTAATCGTGCAAGGAAAATCAAACGACGCCAGTTCGTATTCAGTCGGCAATACTTTCACCGACAATTCGTTGGCAAATAAGACGGTTGTGTCCACAAGTCAACACGTCAACACGTCAACACCTTCAACACAGTTGTTCTCGAAGGTGACAAAGAGACACAAGTGCAGATTCTGTGAATATTCGAGCAATTATCGCGATGACATCAAAGTACACAAACGAAATCACGCCGGTGAGAAGCCATATCGATGCAGCCGTTGCAACAGGAGTTTCTCAGGATCAAATCACCTTAAATATCACACAAAAGTTCATGCTAGTGAATCTTTGAGAATTTCTGGGTTTTCAATGACATAGTTCTCGATATCCATAATAGCATCGTTGTCAATGGACATAAGAGATGATTCCTTTTCAAATGCAAAGAATTCCAGGATTTTAATAATATCGGCCGGAATTTTTTCATTCAAATATTTTTCTAATTTGAAAATAACATTTTCCAGTCCCTAAAATACAAAACACAACTTAAATTGATATTAAATTTGGATCGAAATAACTATTTACCATTTTGGCGAACTAATGTAAACAATGTAGTTGCAACGATTAACACAACAAATCAATAAAGATCTGTCAAGTGCATTCGCATTCGCGCAGCAATATTCGGACGTATTTGCTAATGCGCCGTATAGATATATTAAATGGTTATTCGTACGAATGCGAATATTCGGCACGAATATCAGTATTTGCGAGTGTTTATATTCAAATGCATGGCAAAGTATTCGCGCATTCGTACGAATAGCAGTATTCGCATAGAGTGAAATCCCCCTAGTTGTGAAATATGTTTGACGCGTTTTATCCGAACATATGGCTTGAACAAACATCTGAATAACATTCACAGTCGGATGCGCCATTGAATTCCCGATTGAAACTTCTAATTTAATTGTTTCGAATGATAGGGCTATCGCAAGACAAAGAAAACACAACAAGCACACGAATAGATTAAATTCAGAGAAAAAATCATTCGTGAAATAATTATAAAGTACTTTTTCTCGAAGCCAATTATTATAATATAAGGAACAAATGAAGTGAAATAACACAAACTGGATTCAAATGAATAAAAATATATTTTTTCTTTCTTAATTCTACAATTTTTACAATGAAAAAAATTTAATCATTTTCAGTATTATCGAATAAATATATTTTTTCCCTTACAACGTATAGAATGCAAGATCAAAGTTGTTTTTATTCATTTCTTTCTTCCTTCTGTTGGTTGTCTTCCTATTTGTAGATCAGCTAATTTTTTTACAATCAGAACATTCGTTTACTTAATCCTAGACTTAGCGGAGAACGGGCCAATTTGACGCGTGGGGCAAACCGACGTATTCAAGATATCTCGAAAACGGCAATACAAAGTATCAAGTGTTATATATCGTTAGTTTCGCCATTTTATCCTTCACATTTGGTCAGTGTCGCAAGGGTTATCAGTATCTGATTGACTCTACAGAGCGACGAATACGTTTTTGGCTACCCGTGCCTTGATTTTTCTTGGCAATGATATTTCGATTTTTTTCATATGAATTGGATTGCATGACTAGGTCAGGAGATTTTTAATATTTAAGAAAAGTACGTTGAATTGCCCCGTACTCCCCTAATTATACATAGTGTGTCAAAGCGATATTTTTATTAGATTTTTCTTTGTATATATTTGTTCGCCTTTGTTTTATAAATTCCAAAAATCAAAGAGACAAATCATATGTCCAGCAATTGCAAAATGTATGAGTTGACATGTTAAACGCGATCTCACCCAGGCCCGTCGCATGTTCGAACTACATCTTCATAGACTCGGGAGACATGCATATGTACGGTTGTTGTTCGCGATTGGCTCACACGTTGCGACGTGTGAGCGGGTTGTACAGCGAACAGTGGTTGTGGTCATGCTGTAGCCATGAAAAAAACATAATAGTGCGTCTGCTTGAGTCTATAAAAGTGTCGTTTGAACGTGTGAAACGTTGGCGAATATGTAACGGGCTTGAGTGAGAAATCTAATAGGTTTTGGATAATTTCCATAAGCGATGATACTTTGTGGTGCGATCGAGTGTCGTATTCTCTTCAATGAGCTGAATGAATCTTGTTTTCGGTCGTCTTTCCTTGAGATCCAAATTTCCATAAGATCTACATTCTCCACATCGATTTCGGTTGGAATTTTTTTTAACAATTCAGCAATAACTTCGACTGATCAGTGATCAGTTCAATGCTTTTTCATTGTTGTCAATGTCGTTGATAAAATCGATCATTATGCTTAGCAATCTAAACATTTGAGAATTGTTTTTTTAGATTACGGTCAGGCATACATCGACTAAGATCTAAGATTTTGAGCTTCTTCATATTCAAACTGTTATATTCGCCATTTCAAAAAAAAAAAAAATCAAGCAGAACACTTGAATGAATTGTATCAAAATCTTCGATAAATTATTTTATGTGATTCAAAGCACTCCAGTTCTTTCGAACGGATTCGCCGAATAGTGTGCGTCCTATGCTGTAAGAATAGTCTCTTTCGACTTAGAACTAAGTTCTATAATGGTATTATTATTACTGAGCAACTCACTCCCCGAATATATATGGAAGCCGCAATGCTAATATACTTTTCTTTGTGAATTCGTCGCCTTGCGAATTATAAGAATCAGCCAAAATGAAAAATCTAGAAGGCCAGCTAGTGTGTGTGTTTGAGCGCGGCAGCTAGCTGTTACGTTCATATATAGATATCTCACTCTAACAAGAAAGACGAACGAAGCGACAGCACACCAATACACAAGTGATCGTGTGCGATGTGTGACTGTAGTGATATAGCGTGAATCATATCTGTTGTAATAAACAACAGAAGCACATTTTATGGTTTATGTTTGTGAAAAATATTTTTTCACTCACAAAGTCACAGAAATAAATTCATTTTTCTATTTTGAAATTAAATTTATCAAACGGAGAAAATAAAAAAAAGGGTTTCATACGGAAAAAATGCGGTTGATTCATTCGTACGGCTTTTGTGTCGCTGCCGAGATTCATGTCGCTACAGCAGTGTGGATTCGTAAATATTTTGATGAATGAAACGAGTCAGTGATGACATCATCGGTTTATTGTTCATTTATATCAACGACTGCTAGTGTCGAACGTAAATGCACGTAAATGCTGCATAATATGATTTTATGTGATTCATGATACATAGTTTTTTAGTTTAAGTAGCTTTACAACGAGCGAGATATCGATTCTTTTTACATTTATCAGTCTTGTCAGTTTCCAATTTACACGTTGAATACAATTCTATTTCTAATCGGGAAATACTAGCTGATACTCAGATTCAGAATGTGAATTCTCCTCATATGAACTTTCATCAAATTTGTTGTCGCCATCTGCACGACATTCATTTTGATTTGTAGAATTCGGACTATTTGTTTTTTCATCTCCTGAGCTCTGGCTCTGGTTAGACAAGGTTTGCGACGCAGCTACATTGATGTACTCAATTTTTTCGTTAATTTTGCCATCATTCTGCTCCCTTTCATTAGCTTGAACGCCTCCTTCTTGCCCGCTTCTGAGCGGCGTAGATCTCTCGTCTTCATGATTTTCATCATCACTATCGGAGAGGTATTCAATTTGCTTGCGAATCTGGAAACGTGAACATTTGCTATGTACTCGAGCATCTTTGTTGGATCCAATTTGTCCATATGTCACCGTGCTCTGGCTCTGGTTAGACACATTGACCGATGCTGCATCAGTTGTGCGCTTAGATCGGTTGTTATTTTTAGCAACATTTTTCTGAATCCCATTGTCTTCAGCTTGAAGTGGTTCACTTCTATCCGTTTGTTCATTCATTTGAAAGTTTTCGTCAGGTGTGCTTCTTAGCGCTGTATCGACTTGACGATCGGCACCCATCGACAGTCCTAAGTCATTGTCTTCCAGATCATCATCGGATATTTCGATTGGATCACTATTAACGTTGACTACCTCGATCTCTGGCAATTCTTCAACACACTCAGCATTAATTGACTTTGGTTGATCATTGCTAGTCCCATGGTCACTGAAAGAAAATTAAAGACAAAATCCCTTTGAAGCCATGTAAAAAAACTGACAAAAAAATTTCAACAGAAACTTCAAAATAGTATTTACCTTAAATTTTCCAATTGGACAACTTCTTGAATTGACATTTCGTCGACTTCGGTCGAAAAATCATCTGAATATTCATCTGACAGGTCCAGGAAGGATGTAGCACTATCCACATCTGCTGCCTCTTCGCCTTCATTCCATATTTCATTAGCATTTGAATCGTTAGCGTTGATATCGATAATTTGACAGCCATCATTGAGAATGTCCTCTGGTATTATGGTCATGTGATCGTCATTCAACCCACAAGGAACCAACGGATGCACACGTTTCGGTTTCAGTGTTTGAAATAATGAATGCAGGACATACGACGTTGCATGTGGTGTGTAAGGAACCTGCGAAAAGAAACATTGCTATCAAAAACATTCCCAGTTGGGCTCCTTTTCAAATTTCTTACGAGAAATAAGCCTTTGATGGTCTCCTCAGATCTCGGCTCATGTTCCATTGCAATCAACTTGATGTAAATGATTTTGCGTTCGTCAAAAAGTCTGAAAATATAACGCTCAGTTCGGAATGTTGCTTTCATTTTTAACACTTGAACAATCTACCTCTCATAATCCCTTTGCCTTAGCGCTTTTACTTGCGAAATGTTTGGAAATACTCTGAGTTGCGGTGGACCTTCAAATTCAAAGAGTCCACCATGATTGCATCTCTTGAACACAACTTTCTGTGGTTCATACAACTGAATTTTTACGCCTTCACGTGCCAATTCGAAGAGTAGCTCTTCATAACCAAATAGTTCCATTAGTAAATAGATTTTGTAGCCATTATAAGTGCTGAGAATAGTGAAACAAAGAATAGTGATGGCTCTCCTTGAATAAATTGAATGAAAAGTTATCCTCAAAACAAAACGCATTCATTGCTCACCTAACAATATCTTTGATCTGTTTGCATGCTGGGAAGAGGATACTATGTTTACGAAAATTTGCTAAGGTATTGTCCACGTGAATGTCATTCAATTTGTCTTTATAATGCAATACGATTGGTCTAAGTATGGCTTGACGGCATTGCGTGAATTGGCCTGTGTACAAATGGACATCATCTGTAAGAAAATAGCAATGAATTTATTCGCTCATGATCCCCCACAAATATCAACTCTTACCTCCAATGTCAATTAGCAACATTACAGATTGCGATACATTTCCACTCGGAATACAACGTATTCCGAAACTCGGTGTACAATCGAATTTCGTTCGACGTTCTGACAGTAATACAAACAAATCTGTTGGTATTTTCTGAAGAAAAAATGTTACCATGAAACAATACATTCATTTGAAATTTAAATTCTCAATTTAATTACCTTGAACCCAGCCAGTACACAAAATGTGTCTTCTGTGCAACAAAACCACACTATTCCTCTGAATTTCGAGTAATCTTCTTTGGGATATTTCGGTTGTGTGAATATACAGAATTTGACGGTCTACATTTGTGTTTGGAGGAAAAAAATATGAACAAATAGTCGAGTGATGGCAATTTTTTTACTCTAATTTCAATACTCACATCATCCTCTGGAAACTCATCAAATAACACGTTCGGCAACATTAACAGTTTCATTTCGACAAATAAAATACAATCTTTTTTTTCGAACAAAAAACAAATATTTAATACGAATAACTGGACATTTCAATACATTTTATTATAAACATACAAACCGGTAACAGTTTTGAACGATTTCGTGTTTGATTTTACTACTGCCGAAATGTCAGTTGACAAATGTATGTCGTAAGACATTCAGACTGTCGTACTTAACTCGGTGCGATTTGGCTTTCGTCGTCAATACACTTAGTATGGTTGGTTGAACCGATAGATGGCGGTTCAGTTAAGGTGATATTACTCGCTTTTGAAATTCAAAATTTTAGTCTTTTTTTTTTAAAGTAATATATTCCGTTGCGTTTTTTAAAAGCAAACAACGGTAGGAAAAATGAATGAATAAATTTTTTTTTCTAAATGTTTGCTTTGAATTGCCGATTAATTTATAAAATCGTTTTACTTAATGTATCCTTCCAAACTGAGATTTAACTCACTTCAGGTGATGTGTGATTGTGTTTTATGTGGAAAAAACCTTTGACCGGCGAATTATAGATCCAGGCAGATAAAATCTAAATTACGGTTTGAACCAAATACACGCATAATCAACGCTTTTTTTTTTTATTTCATCTTTTGATTTACAAAAGTTAGACGAGCGTTGTAATTAGTAAATATTATCGCCGAAGAAATGTTCTCATCAAGCCCAATCAAATAATCAAATCGTAATTTAATTGTTAACAAGAATAATGGCACTAGTCTATGTTATATTATTGTGAATAAAGTGAGGCGTTAACGAATGCCGATCAAAACTCATTTTATTGTTCGCTAGACCACATGAGCCAAATCGTTCAATCGTTTATTCCACATTTTAATTCTGGAATCAGAAACTGAAATGTGGCGCCTCGGGCGCATCATGAAAAGAGTGTGTCTTGGGCTTCGTTTATTCCACTGTGTTGTTTTATATTATTATGTTCATCTAATCAAGAAATGATCCATTCTGATTGTGCTGTGATTCAAACAGTGATGAAATAATTAATTTTGTTGCTCATTTCTCTCTCACAATTTTGTTTCGTATTCAATGGTGTTGTTTCAACGGAAATGTTCAAATTATCTTGGAATCTTAGCCAATTAAACGTTATGAATTGGGCGTGCAGAAGTTTGACTGTAATAGGAGACCAATTATTATCGGCTAGTTGAATTGGTAATGTAGGACAAAATATGAACGATTTTCGAATATTTGTTTCAATGCAAACCAAAACACAATTCCAAGCATAATTCATGAACAATTTCATTCATTGGCGTAACAAAACAGTTTTTTTTTTCTTCTTCTTCTCCTTTGTCTAAGAATTTAAGTTGATTCGGTCATTGTCTTAGGCCGCACGATCATTGTTCAATGATGAGTCAAAATAATTATCTAGAAATGTAAATACATAGAATGACGCGAACTGTGAACAGGAACTCCAATGGAGAGAACTTGCAATAAATTTTTCATTCATTTCACTTAGGTAATAAATTTTCGGTTAATAAATAAATTATCTGATCCCAATTTGAAAGCATGATGAAGTTACATCCATGCAATGCTCGATATTTACATATTAAAACACTTCAAGATTTTCCTGAAACCAACAGAAAATGAAAGAAATAAAATATGATAAGTGCTTTCTTCAATTGGATTTGTTTCCCGTTTCCTACACGTCGCGCCATTCCCTGCTGATATCGACCGTTTAATACCATTTATTTTACTTTTAGTTTGGTTTTTTCTTTTGTGTTTATCGTCCGAAAAGCATCTCTGTGTCAATTTATTCCCATTTTGTACTGGTAGGGAGTCGTGCACACTTCAACATGCATATTATTTTGTAAGCAACAAAATGTTCTATGAATTTAAATAAAAAAAGGCGTCATTGCTAATACAACGCTTCAGACACTCAATGAATGAATGCGAGCGATTAATTTCAGCGTCAAATCCACTATTTAACTCGTAATTAACAAGATTTCCCGCCAACAACATCTACCATTTTGACATCTCAATGTTTGTTAGTTTATTGTTCTATCAACAATCTAGCAAACGTTGTCACATTGTTTGGTTCAGCCTTTTCAATGTTACTCCGATGAAAAAGTGACCATTTCCTGGTCTATTTTAATTAGATTCAGTGAGAAAACATTTCGAAACGGAGATGTGTGTGAGAGAGGAAGAGTAGAAACAAAATATGTTCGTTAAATTTGCCGAAAATGGAACTGAAACGTCTTTAGCTTTTTGTTGGGGCCATTAAACGGAAAATCAACGTGGTTTAATTACAAATGGTCAAATTAATTTGTGTTTTTAAAATAAATGAGCCCATTGGTCGAAAAAATTTTATTGAATATTTCGGAAGAATAATGAGCTGAAGCCATTGAAATGATTTCGATCGTTGTCTTTGTCGTCGTCGTCGTTGTCGTCGTTGTCGTCATTATCGTCATCATTCTGATGAGAGAGAAAAGTGGGAGAGTGAGCAAAACAGAGAAGAAAAAAGGCCGCTGTCGTGAAGCTCACAATGGCATATCGAGTAGTGGCGTCGAACATTCTAACGAGTGCATATGCTGTGAACGTAACAGCAGCAGCAGCATCAGCAAACACAGAAAAATCAGAGATATCATGGCTCCTTTCAGAGACACTCGAATCGCATTCAAATATTGGTCATTTTCAATTCGACAAATCAAACAGACAATTTGATTTTCCTACACAATAAATATCGGCGACAATAGTTGTTTTGCAATTGTTTTTTTTCTTCTCTCGTTCATCGTTTGATGCTCTCAGTAGTTTAATGGTCAATATACGAACGAAGTATGAAAATAAACACATTTGTGTGGAATCGAATTGGGATAGAAAAAGACTATTCGCCATAATAATGTGCGATGCAAGAGTCAAAATAAGTGAGCGAGAAATTGAATGAATCAAACTGAGAAGAAAAAAAAAAACGTCCTATGGTGAAGAGAGAGCATCAACACTCCAAATATTACATACTCTGGCTAATCCCACCCATATACCACTTTGGCAAGAGGAATAAAAAGGAAAACGAGAGAAGAAGAAAAAAAAAAAACAAGACGAAAAATCGGAGCAAATTTGTCATCAAAACGTTTATTAAATCGCATTCAATTCGGCAAATTACATGGGTTACGGAACTGTGCAAACAATCGAATCAATCGGGAAAATGTGGGGCGTGGACGTTCCGACCGAATGTTGCAGACAAACAAAGTTTGTTGGATTCAATGTTTGTTGCAAACACTCACACATACCATTCCCAGCCCGGCGAACGAATCACGTGCACCATATGCACTTATATATGTATGTATACACGTTCCATGTCTCAATTTTTGCTGTGGCGGTGTCTGTCTGTGTGTATGGCGTACGAAATAAAAATCCGCGTCAAAGTGCTTCTATGGTGCGAACGCATGCCATATGTTTAACTCACTAATACACATTGAGATACGTGTTTGTGGTTCGATGATCGAGAGACGAACAAGCCAGCGAGTGAGCGAACGAACGAACGGGAGATAGAGATGAAGAGAGAAAATGTGAAGAGAGGCGATGATTGTGCACGCTTTTCATTCCACAATTTTCGCCAGTCGTTCTCGCTCTCGCTCGTTCTCGCTCTCGCTCGTTCTCGCCAAACGTAATTGATTGGGCTCGTAAACGTGCCGGATTATACAGCGATACATCGAGTGCTTCATTAATGTCTCTTCTTTCTCTTCACTCTGCATTCTTACTTGAATGTGGGATCGAATTTTTTTTCCCGTGCTAATTTGTACACATTCTCAATATGTGTATATTGTTAAGCGAAAACGATTTTAAGAAGCACCGCCTTGTGTTGAGCTTGAGCAAAGCATACTCGCAGTATGAGCACGCGGCGCCTGCATTGTTTTATTTTTGTTGAAAATATTATTCCCCATCTTCGTTCATAAAAATTATTTAATGATAAAAGCGATGAGAGAACGAAAGAGCAAGCAAAAAAAAAAAAACACACATCGTTGGAAGTAGAGAAGAAGAGGATGACGGCTATGAAAAATCCGATCACACCAGCTGTCGAAATTCGGTTATTTAGCAAAAGATGATATCGGCATTTTCATGGTACGCGAACTACCGTTATTGTATTGAAGACGAACTGCAGAAGAAAAAAAAACTGTGTACTAACAAGACAAATGCTTTGACGTTCCATTTCAGCACTTTTCGTTCGTGTTTTCTTTTCTGAAATTCAATCATCTATGCAAAAGACTATTGTATAACGATAACGACGACGGCCACAGCGACCGCTGTACATAATTCTTACATATATATATATATATGTGTATGTATATGGTAGATTTGCCATCGAAAAGGTAATCAGTTTTGATAATTATACAAATCGTGTATTTAATTCAACTTTTCACTTAGCCACAGCGTATTGCTACGGTGACTGGCGCTGTTGCCCATTCTCAATGATTATAAGAAATATTTTACTTACTGAAATACTACAATTAACACTTTTTTTTCTTCTCAAGTTATATTAAGTAAATGTGAAAAAGCAATCACAAACTTTATTTTTGATATGAACGGCAATTTTATTGCTCAATTTTAATGTAACTATATCAAAATGTACATACTTGGGCACTTATAGAGGAGCCGAGTGTGTGTGTACGTGTATGTGTGTATATGTTGCCCACGTTGTTGTTGGACCGATAAATTCCGAACTCTCGGGCCTTTGGAACATATCATGGCGAAAGCAATGCACGATACGGACTAAATTAATGTAAATTACATGCACATCGTGAGTCACATAGCAATTATACATAATGAATGGCCAAATGAACATTACAAATATATGAAAACTTGTACAAAAACACATGAAAATTGCAGCATTTTTTGTGTATAACCGTGCTGTTGTTTTGTTGTGATCGGTGCACTCTTTTTTACTGCTGCTTCTTACTTCTCTCTCTCTCTCTCTCTCTCTCTCTCTCTCTCTCTCTCTCTCCCTCTTTCGTTTGCAGGCCAATTTTTTTATATTACTGTTTGCACCGAATCCATCAATTCATATTTGAGTCATCAGCGCAATGAAGCCTCGGCTACAATGTTGTATGTATGCAGATGCTCTCAGCTACAGACAGCTCTTTTGCCGCCGCCATCGTCCGTGTTTTTCGACTACATTGTGAAGTTGATCCACCGCTTCATCTGTCTG